GAGAGAGAGAGAGAGAGAGAGAGAGAGAGAGAGAGAGAGAGAGTGAGAGAGAGAGAGAGAGAGAGAGAGAGAGAGAGAGAGAGAGAGAGAGAGAGCTTACTAAGCTGAGTAAGGGTGATGATCTGGCGGCCATAGTTGCCACGTGTACTTAGTCTATGAACTTGGATATTTGTGTTGTTTGGGGAGTAATCATCTCTGAGTCAGCTTTGGTCTGCCTTGTTTGAGTGCTTTGTTGAATTTGGTGTGATGAATTGTTGAGATTGGAGTCAAAAGTTGAGTCAGATCATCGCATAAAGATGTAAAAATTTTATAACTAATTTCATTTACTGAAAGCTTGTGTTTTTTTCTTTTGTTTTCTTTCCTTTCTTTCCAGTTTATGACAACTCCTCCGGGCATTTTCTTGGAGTTGCTGCCATGAATATACGGGTACAAGATGACACCCAGTTCCAGGAGAACCTGAACAAGGCGATCAGCAATACAAGACCAGAATTATGGACTCCATCAAGCCCAAGGGTAATGGCGTGCCCAAAAAAAGAAAAGGAAACTTCTTCTCCACCTTTTGCTCCATCTCGAAACTCACTCGCTTATCAACCAAAGAGAAATAGAGAGAGAAAGAAAAAGGTTATTTCTGATATCTCGTTTTTTTTTCTTTTTCAAAACACGTCTGTTGAAGGCCTGCTATTGGAGGTGACAAGAGCACCCCCCAGTAGAGATAAATTAGTAGATTACTGGTCCGTGCTTTGGGGCTTCAGGCCGCGCCGCACACGCACCGCCTCTAATCAGCACCCTTAGCCACAGGAACCAAGTCTCTTAACCACTGAACCCCGATGCGGCGTTCGAAAGTGGAATCGTAGCGGTGGTGATATCCACCCCACCCCTGCAGGGCTGTAGTGTCCAACGCACACACACCGCACACAACACCACACGGACATGGCAATCCATGTACACTCAGTTTCAACGGCACGCGGCCCACCACTGCCAGGCCTCCTGTTTTGGCGCCTCCAACATACTGGTGGGAAGATGCACCGCCTGGAAATCGGTTCCACTGTCCCTTCTTGGGCACCTTCAGACCACAGCGAATAGCAGGCTCATATGCTGCTTCGCTGTCTTGACAGACTCCATGTTTCAGTCCTAAACCACCTACATCCGAAGCTTGCCCCCTTCCAAGCACTGACTCCATCCCTGGCTAGGGATTTGATCAGATCTGCTGGACAGATACTTTTCAAACTAATCCTTGGCTACCAGAGAGGCCTGGGACAACTTGCCTGGCCGGGCCAAAAAAAAAAAAAAACTTCTTAATTTGATTTTTTTGTGGGCTACCAGCCAGGCCACCCGGGTCACCTTGTTTTCCTGGGCAGCCCGACCGTGGAAGGACCGGGGAAGGTCCCAGCCAAAAAAAAAACAATTCCAAAAAATCCAAAAATATGTGCAGAAAAATCATGGCTACAATCCGGACGTCTGGACCGCCGTCCAGACGGTCTGGATTCAGTCCAGACTCCAGACGTCTGGTCTGGAAGGTCCGGATCTGCCAAATTTCGAGGAAAAAAAAAAAAAAAACGGTCAAGGACCCTTCCCCATTGAGGAGCCAAGCCCCCAAAATTTTTTGGGGGATTTTCAGGCCTGTTTATGCTTTTATTGGGGGTCCGGACATGCTCTCTCTCTATAATAATTTATTAGACAACCCCAATTCTTAATTATTAATAATTCATTACCTTTTATTAGTTTTTAAAGTCTTTGCAAGGAAAATGAACAGAAGCAAGATGACAATATTCAGATTGCACAATCACATTGAAAGCCAGATCGTATCACAGTGTTCAGAAAGCAGCATTGCACCAATATGACACCAACGGAGAATCGTAGCACTGAAAACCAATGTCAATGAGAGCTTGCTCTCGCCACCGCCAACATATTTATCCAGTCCCTATCTCCCTACATGGCGCTCGGCGCCCAGCCTACTCCCTACACAGCTACTACTAGCCTACTAATTGACAATGCAACTGTTGACGTCAGCGGCCTCCGAAGTACTTGAAGATGTCGCCCATGCAGACCATCGCCAATACCAGGTATGTGCCCTCACATCATCATCATCATCATCCTTCTCTGTCTCTCTCCCTTGTCTCTCTCCCACGTCTTTCCTTTGTACACCCGAAGACCACCCCTGCGCCTCACTGTACATCCAAGCCCACCAGCTATGGAGGCTGGGCTATGGCGCTGCCCTCAGCAGCGCCCTGCTCTCTGCACGACCGCACGTGCTGGCACCTTGCCGCTCAGCGCTAGCAGCAGCCCATGAGCTTCAGCTCCAGCAGCGCTGCCGCCAGCACGCGAGTGCCCGAATGAGCTGCCAGCCAGCGAGCTCTTTCCTATATGGAAAAGATCTGGCCTGGCTTCGCAGCCTGGCTGCCCTGAGCTGGGGCCCAGAAGCTTCCCGTAGGCCCCAAGGTGCTGTGCTTCTGGTGCAGCTACTGGTCCTCATCCGGTTGGGCCTCCCAACAGTCTGTGTATGAGGCTGCAAATCTCGCCCAGGGCCTGTGCTTTCGGAAAGGCCTAGAAGGCCTGGGAATTTCCACGCTGCTCGGCCTGTGTTTTCCTTCAACCAACTGGCGCGATGAAACTGCCTGGACCCCATATACGAAATTGACAGCCAGGGGCCTCTCTTTTTTTT